GGAGAGTCAGAAACGTGGTCTTTGCTCATTTAGCCTCTTTTCTTAGCCTCCTTGCCAAGAATTCCCAAAAAGGAAGGGAGAGACCATTAGGAAGGTCAGTCTGAAGCTTCCCAACAGCAGGAGGTAGTCAGATCTGTCTGGGACTTGGATTAGGTGGCTGGGAGATGATGTGTTGAAACGAGAAGGGCCCAGACTAGGAATCAGAACCCCCCTCTTTTCATTCGAGCCCTACCGTGACCAGCGAACGACCTTGAGCAAGTTGTTTAATGTCCCCGGGATAGTTCCCTCACCTGTTTCCCAAATCTAGCACTCAAAATCATCACTCATTTTTATTCATTAGACACTCAATATACATACTCAACATATATGTGTAGCAAATGTAATTTTCCAAGTAAGAATTAAGGATATAGCCTTTCAAAAGCCTGGGCCTGCGAATCTTTTTGCAGACTGCACATTATTTCAACCATTCCCACATTTAGCAGTACCCCTGGAGTGTGTGCTGTTTCTAAAGGGACAGAGATATTAAATGGTGATATTCTATAGCTAAAGTGGAAACGTTTATTGCAATCAGCTATGTGACTGGTCTCAGGGCCTGCGTTTCCCACAAACAGAAGAATCAGGTGCCTAGGTGTCTGATTTCAGAGACACAGAGAGGTGATGAGTCATTTCATTCATTAGCTGATATCTTTCGTTATACAACTGGATTTGGAATTAAAATGCAAATATGTACTTATAACATTGCAGCTAAAAAAATGCTGAGTATCTTAATTCATACTAAGGTGTAAATGACTGATACCAGACCCTACCCTTAGGGTACGTTTTAAGTAATAGTAAGGAAAAACAAAACAGGGAAAGTAATGGAAACTATAGATGGCAGGGGTATGGGAAGAGGGATAAGAACATGGAATGGAGAGAACAGAGTTTCCAAAGATAAATTCTCCTTTACTTACTGCTTTTTCACCAAGGTTAGACAGAAACCAGTGGTTTAGGATCCAATTTCAGAGAATGTCATAGTCTCCTTGTTTTATGACCCAGGCTAATTTTCAAGACCAGAACACCACTTCCACAAAAATCAGATAAAGCTGCCAAAGCAAACCTCAGGATCTTGAGGGATTTTTATGAAATTGAAATAATTTTCTTTTTTTACATCATCATTTTTCTTGACTGTAAAACATATCCCCTTACTGTAAAACATTTAGATACCACAACAAAGTACAAAGGAAAAAAAAAAAAACGCATCCTCAATTCCACCACTCTTAATATCGTGGCACTTTTTTTTTTAAAAGCTTAAAGTTTAAGCTTTAAACTTGCGGAGTTTTCATCCACAGCAGTTTAGACTGAGGAGACTGCAAAGCCACCACAGCCAGAACAGAAGTGGAGCCTGGAGATGCTACGTGAGCAGAACCTGGGACCAGTTTTCTGGGGGAGAAATCAAACCACCCGCCCTGTGTGTTTACAATGAGGTGTGTCTATATCAGGCAGAAGACTTGGCAAATTCACTCACCACTTCTTTTATTCACTCTGCATTCCTAGGAAGTAGGTTACCTGAGGAGCCCATTTGCTGCATCCAAATTGGAACTGATTTTCAAATTTGGTGACGACTGTGAGTAACGCAGATCAGAGAAAGTCTGTGTATGTGTATGCGGTGTGGCCTGAGTGTTTGTGTGTGTGTGTGTGTATGTTGTTCCCCTGCATAGAGCTCAAGTAACCAAATTAACATTGGGGTGCGTTGAGAAAAGCTTTTTATTGCTTACATTCCTGTCCCCATCTTTCCGACTTGCAAAGGAAGATTTTCTTGAAAAACTAAGCCAGATCGTGCACAAAAAATCCAGGTTGGGGGAGTTTTTCCGCACTGTGTGCTCAGCCCCAGAAAAATCGGAGCATGGTTGACTGTGCCCACCAGGCTCAAGGTGAGGCCTCGTTCTCCTGGCAGTTTTAAAAGGGGTCTGGCAGTGATAATAAATATCATTTGCTGACACGGAGTCCTGGGCCTGCGCTGACCACAGGAGTCGCGGTCCCCAGGATGCTGGGACCGCTCACAAAGCAGGCATTTATGAAGTGGTTGGCTTTGCATTAATTAATTCCCCAGCCATTCACCAACAGTAACAATCCCTTCAATTAGAGTCCAGGCCCGGGAAAGCCCTGGTGTTTATTGGAAGTGACATCTGCATAGCAAAGTGTGACTGTGTTAATATGGAATAGCACAAAGGGACCCAAAGCCCCTCTCCTGCCTGGCGCCTTCCTTCTCGCGTAGCTTTTAAGGAAGAAAGAGGACTCTTGTAGGAGCGTTCAATTTGTGCTTTTCCTCTTTGGTGGTTAGCTTGTCAGCTGAAGTTTTCTCATCTGCTTCTCCTCTGGGGATGGGTTAGTTCTGAAGTGGTGAGTTCTGTCATGTGTCCACGGAGTATTAAGGGGCCTCAAAACAACCCAGGGTCCTGGCAGGCTGCGGGAGGCTGACGGGCCGGGGCTGGATGTGGAGCCCACCGGGAGGCGGAGCAGAAGTTGGCAAATTCCCTCATTGTAAAGATAAGAATTTGGGGGCCAACAAGAGGCTTGGAGTTCCATGGGTCTTAGTATTGTGAAAGCTGGAGGGGTGGGAAAAGTCTGTAGAAAGTAGGGCTAATTGTCAGTTCAAGAAGGCAGGGAAAACATCTGGTTTTTTTGGGGGGAGGGGGGAAGACTGGCCCTGAGCTAACATCTATGCCCATCTTCCTCTACTTTATATGTGGGATGCCCGTCACAGCATGGCTTGACAAGTGGTGCATAGGTCCGTGCCTGGGATCCAAACAGTGAACCCTGGGCAGCCAAAGTGGAATGTGCAAACTTAACTGCTGTGACACTGGGCCAGCCCCAACATCTATTTTTTAAGGGTAGCTCTATGTCATGTACATGGTAGGCTCTAAATAAATGTTTGCTGGCTGGCTGAATGATGGGTTGATCAGACACCTGAGCCTTTAATCCTCTAGCTTGTTCAAGTGCCCGAGTTGCCAGTTATTCAGCCTCTTTCATTTCCAGTTCTCTCAATATTTGCAAGTATCTGCACCTGTCGTCAGCACAGAGGATGCCCACGTTTGCTGGGTGGACGTCCCTCATGCAGCCTTCCTGGAGCTGCAGGAGGCTGGGCTGGTACAAACCCAGTGGATCCGTTAGAAGGGTTGCTACATATTTACACATCTCAGCAAATATTGTCTAGTGCATACTGTCATTTATCATTTTCAAAGTCTTTTTCTGGTTTTGTTTTTGCTTGCACTTTTAGAAGGTGGGCTTTTTAAACGTCTCACCCTTTTCTAGACATATGTTGTGCTAGATCATCAAAATGATTAAGAAAGAGTTCCCCTTGCCACTAGAAAAGAGGATTGAACATAAGCACATTTGCAATAACTGTAAGGCAGGATGAAGACAGGCCAGTGCTGAAAGAGACATAACAGAAGGGGATAAAGAGTCCTAGGGAACAACATACCGGCGGCCTTGTCAGTCAGCAACTTCTCTAGGCGTTTGCAATGAGTCTTGAAAGATGGCCAGGGTTATAATGCAAAGGAAAAACATCCTTGTCAAAGGGACAGGAAATTATCTAAGGGTGCACATTCTGGGAAGAGTGACGAGTCCACTTTGGAGGAAAGCATAGATTTGGACTGGAGAAATGGGGGGGGTCAGTCACCGAGGATGTTGTCACCTAGGGTGAGAAGCCTATGGTTAGTTTGGCGGACTCGGAACCAACTGGTGGGTTTTTATTCTGGGGAGGAGGGGGTGGGGTCAGGACTAGGGTGAAGCTACAAATCTGAGGAGAGGCTCACTCTCAGGTGTGGGACTTGTAGGAGCTGAGGGCGATGCCTTCTTACTGTGGTTCCAGCCTGGGGGGGAAGGGGGAAGTGGGTGGGCAGCAGCTCTACGATTAGAGCTGTGTGTTTAAAAGATTGCTCTGAAAGCTGTATTTAGGATAGAGTGGAAAAAGTGGGATGAGGAGGTGAGATTGTGTAGATGTTATAATAAGAGTTAAATCCGACAGAGGAGACACGGATCCGGGGAGGTGAAGGGCAGTAGGAGAGCTCCTTTAAAGAGTTAATACAGAAAAGAACTGGCTGATGGTCACTATGCCCATATGAGCGCGCACTTAGCGAGCACTCACCATGGTCCAGGAATGGTTCCCAGCACTTTTCACGGATTAATTAATTTGATGATGAGGGAAGAAGTCCTAGGCCTGGAGCCCAGAGAGCCGAGTTCCAGTCTAGTTCTGCTCTAACTTGTTGTGGGAACCTCTTTGGCTTCAACTCTTCACGTAAAATGACTGAGTTACTTTAGACAATTCCAGAGGTCCGCCAGCACTCTGAAATCCCACGTAACTCCTGACATCTCTTCATGGCAGCTTGCTTAGAGAGGGAACCTGAACCTTGGGCAGCGCAGTCTAGGATCATGTAAGATCTCCCAGATCAGGTGCCTTGGGAGTTAATCCCTCTGTCCAGACTCTTTTTTCATCGGTTTGCACTTCTAGGTTGCAGGTCCCCCTTGAAGACAGAGATTCCAACAAACTGATGCTGCCTTTCCACCTTTATCCAACACCCGCCTGGCCCGCATTTCTCTCCCCCTCCCTATTGCTCTTTTGTCATTAACAAAACTCCCCAGACCCTTAAAAGCCCCTACAGCAGAACTGTCCCATGAGAGAAACGGTGGATTTAATAAGCTTTTCCTTAAATGGCCCCAAATCCCTTCCAGTGATTAGGGGGAAAAGCAGCTAACACAGGACAGAGCCTCCTGGTGCAGGAGGTGAGGGAGGGAGAGAAGAAAGAAAGTTCCCGACATCCCGGGCCTCAGGGACCAAATTAAAAAAGCAGCAGCACTTATTCAAAATCAGATGAATGTCAGTGGGATGTTTGTCAAACAAACTTGTCATTATTTGTCACAATTTGAGGAAGTATCAGTCAGTAGTCACGCTTCAGCGTGTAACAGAGTTATTTATAGCTGCCAGCCTACAGTTTTAACTAATGCGGGGCCAAGGTTCGGTGTTATAAACAGCTTTATTTATCATGATTGTGTGGCTATAAATAGTTTGGTTCGCTGGGTGTAGCAGCATAGCTCCGTGCTGTTCTGCCAGAGCCAGCCAGAGCCGGGAGGAACGCGACAGCGTGTAGGTGAATCCTGTCTTTTCCTCTTCTTGGCAGACCCTGTCTGTGAGTCCTTGGCCAGGCTATTTCATCTACTTCCTCAATGTCCCTTTCGGAACGAGGAGTTGTGCTCTACCGTGTTCCCAGGAGGTGGTAGAAGTTACTCACGTAATTAATTAATGTCTGCCCCAAGATCGCAGTTGAAAGTTGAAAGGGAACAGGGTGCCAGCACGGCCTCCTTTGTGCCCATTCACGGACAATGAGCTAATTACAGCCTCTTTCTCATGCTGGAGGGTGGAGCGAGATATCCTGTTATTCTCCAGAGCAGGCAAAGCTCTAAAGGTTTGTTTATAGCTTCAGATTTAATTTGACCGCCAGCGATAGTCGCTTCTAAAAATAAGTGGTTGTCAGAAATTTAGAAATTTACTAGTTTCTTGTGTCAGCAGAACCTTGTTTAGGAAGTGGGGAGGTCTGGGTGGGGGGGGGCGGTGAGCAGAAGAGAGGAGAGGGAATATGTATACATAAATTTTACATGTAAAATACATAGGTATGTCAGCTTAACAACTGATCATTATCCTGTTTGGCACAAGGGCAGTATTCTTACTGGCGGCCAGACAACCTCCACCCACTACCTTCCAGAATGCTAATCTATTTGTCATATTGAAATTTCTAGTTCTTTACATATTCCCATCCTACCCCACTCCCAAAAGCCTGACACTCAGTTTTAATACTGTTAGGTGAAATCTTATTTTGCTTTTTTTTTTTTGTTAAAGAAAAGGTGTGGCTATGAAAAAAATTTATTGGCTCTTAATTTGCAAAATTAGTTCTGGTTCATTTTATTGCTGTAATTTAATACTCATAATGATTTTCTGACACATATGTTTTAGCAGCAAGATCCACTTCCTATTCATTTTTCATTTCAGGACAGCTGAAGTGTATTAGGCAGCATGGCACAAATCAGAGAGAGCAGGGCCCGGTGAGAAACTGACATCATGCTGCCATCTTGGCTTCCTCTCAGATGCACTCTGAGCCCCTGTAAGTGTGCAAGTAGGCATGCCCAGGGATTTGGGGCAAAAGAGATAAGCAGGCAGTACTTCTTGAAAAAGGAGTTACATTTTTTTTTCATTCTACATCGCCAACATTTTCATTATCGTCATCATCGTCATTATTGCAATTCTCTGTCCAAGGGTGCTATGAGATGCATCCTATTTGAACCTCTCCCACTGGAGCTGCGGCAAGGAGAGCCTGCCTGAGTAAACTGCCAGGTACACTACAGGGAACTCGGGGCATGGATGCCAAAGATCCAACGCCATGGGACCCTGAGGACCCGCTTCTCATCCTGACCTGGGTGCCAGGGAAGGCATCCTGGAGGAGGTGGGCCCCCTGCTGAATCCTACAGGTAGTACCTTAGGGCAGCAACTGTGTCTTTTGGTTCCTGTGTGGACACCGCCTGGCATGGTAGGCTTGTGATAAATATTTGTAGAAAGAACAGGCGAGGGTTTCCTCTCTTTTGGGTTCTGACTGTTCCTATGGGAACACTTAAGTTGTGCATTTGCGATACACAAGTAAATACATAAATGAATTCAAAATGGTTAAAAAATGAAAAATTAAAGAGAGGAGAGATTTCCAGAGTGTGTGCACTTCTGACTGATGCCCTGGCATTCTTAATCAAAATGAGAAACTCCCCAACGGGTTATGGCGAGAGGGTGTGAGGCCAAGGTGTAGGGAATAAAATGGAACAATGTGATCCTCGAGGTGAAGTGATTTCAATGGCCTGAGACAACATTCCCTCCTTGTCTATTTTGGACCCATACATGGGTCTCAGCCCTCATCTGCAGTGAGTTCCAATTCTGTGCTCTTGAAGGAGGTGGCGTGAAGCCAAAAGGAAGAAGACGAACAAGGTGATGGATGTTACATCAAGTTTCCCCCTCATTCTCTTTAATTTCCTCTCCCAGGCTTTTTCTTGGTTATACTTATCTGCCTGTTATTTTCACCCTTTTAGAAAGAGAGATTCTCAATGTTTATTTTAAAATAAAAAAGACAAATGTTTTTCCATATTGCTTATTGGGCGAAGGGAGCATTTTATTATTAGCATCATCAAGCATGTGATTTCAGAGAAGATTCTTGGAATCGGAAATGTGTTTGGCCGGTCAATAATAACTCCCATCACAGCAATATTGTGACCATATATCCCAGATCTAGATGTTCTCAGTCAAAGAAAAAAGAAGAGCACAATAAATTTTGCAACATAATATGTAAATCTGATAGATAGCTTTTACCTAATATTTTTGTTTGTTTCTGTTTCTAAGAATTTTCCCTGATGCCGAGTACTAGCTGAGGAGAACGTGGGGTAATGGGTTAGCTTAGGCTTTCTGGCCTCTTCTTAGAATTGTGAATGTTTAGAACTTCAAAACAACATTTGCTTCCTCTGCCCCATTTCTCTCCTTTTGTAGATCAGGAAACTGAGCCTGAAGGACCAAGTGACTTGCTCAAGGTCGTTTGACGTTTAAGAGAGAGAGCTGGGATAATATGTCTCTTGCCTACCATAAAAGGTGACTAACATTTCTTGGAAAGAGATAGACGGTCCGTTGTACAGATGCAGCACTGTGGTTACGGAGGAGGGTTCTGGAGTCAGACACGCCTAGGTGCGAATCGTAGCTCTGTCGCTATTTGTGAGGCAATGGCATGTGGCTGCTCTTCTTTGAGCCTCAGTTTTCTCATCCATAAAGGGGAACCATAATGATACAACAACAAAGGCACTGGGAGAATTAAATGAGATAATGCAGGTCAAGTATTCGGCTGGGATTCCTAGCACACGGAACATCTCCAACATATAACAGAAACTGCGGCGAAAACCAAACCAAAAAGCAAACAAATGAAACCACACAAACACCCCCAAACGAGGCTCCTTGTTCTTTCGCCCCAGCAGGTCTGTCAGAGAGATGTTACTGATGAAGTTTCCTTCTTCTGCGCATCCTGTCGTGTGCACTTACTGCTTCGGAGAGAGAAACACAGGAGCCCGGTTCACCATCAGGCTTTGGGCCAGAGACAGAGACAGATCCGATAGACAGAGATAGGGATGGGGACATCGAGGCAGGGCCCGAGTGAGCAGTGCCCATGAACAAGAGGAATCTGATGTGCTTAGCTGGCCCAGCAGGAAGCCCGAAGGAGGAAGGCCAGTGAGGGTCTGGGACAGCTGCCCCCACTTTGGAGCCCAGCCCGCGCCTGCGGCAGGTGCACTTGCGCCCTGGTGTTAGTTGCTTTGATCAGTGGTAGTAAGTCAAGGTGGGAGGGATCTCCACCAACGGGAGCCTTCCCCTGAGATGTACACAGGTTAGCAGCTTCGAGAAAATGCAACACATTTGGGAGAGAGTTAATTATAGAAAACGGTATCCCCGGTAAGTCAAGCAAGGGAGGACTTAGAACACTCAACTTTGGAATATTTGTCTAATCACATAATCGGTGTGATTTCATTCACATCCTGGGAAGTACTGTCTGCGCACAAAATTATCTCGTTGGATTCCCCACTAACCTTGCAAAGTTTTTATGGTACTTTGCAGATCAGGAAAGTGGAGGCCCAGAGAGATGTAAATCACATGCTCAAAGTCACAGACCTCGAAATGAAGCCTAGAATGAAAACAATCTCACTGATTTCAAAGTCTGTCCTGTGCATGTCCACCGACCCGGTTACATTTTACTGGAGTGCATTTTTCACTACCCTCCCTTCTCACCTTGGTTTGCCCATGGAGATGTGGCTGTGACTTCCTGTGGCTGAGAGAAGCAGCAATGTCTGGGTAAAGGAGCAGATTCTGGAGCCAGGCTGCATGCGTTCCTATCCTGCCTGTACCACTTACTGGCCTTGAAACCACGGACAAGGGAACTAACTTCTCTGTGCCTCAGTTTACTCATCTGGAAAGTGGGTTGTATTAGTCAGGGTTCTCTGGAGAAGCAGAACCAATAGGGTGTGTGTGTGTGTGTGTGTGTGTATCTAATATACATATGTGGTTCTGTTTTATATATACATATTAATACACATCTTAGTGGTTCTGTTTATATATATACATATTAGTGAGAGGGATACTTATTTTAGGGAATTGGCTAAGTAATTGTGGAGGCTGACAAGTCTGAAATCTGCAGAGCAGGCCAGCAGGCTGGAGACCCAGGGAAGAGTTGATGTTGCAGCTTCAGTCTGAAGGGAGTCTTGAGGCAGAATTCCCTTTTTCTCAGTGGACCTTGGTCTTTTTTCTCTTAAAACCTTCAACTGATTGGATGAGGCCCACCCACATTATGGAGGGTAGTCTGCTTTACTCAGAGTCTACTGTTGATGTTAATTTCATCTAAGAAACACCTTCACAGCAGTATCTAGACTGGTGTCAGCCCAAACATCTGGGTACCGTGTAGCTGAGTTGACGTATGAAATGAACCATCACATGGGGCTAATAATCTACCTCATGAGGCTGATGTGAGGAGTAAATGAGCTAATATGTGTAAAGAGCTTAGAACTCTCCTGGCGCAGGTAAGTTCCGGCCAGGTGTCACCTATCATTCTTCCCCAGAAATGGACATGCTCTCTCTCATTTTGGCTCGGACATGTCATTTCTGTCACTGGGCCAACACTCCTGCAGCCAACAGCTTTCACCTCTCTTCCATTTCCTTCTCCTTGTGGCTGCAAAAGAGTCTGTGTGCCTCCTGTGTGGCCACTGCATCTGGCAGGAGATTGCTCTTTCCTGGTCCCCAGGATAAATTAGGATACTGGGCATTGCTGCTCATGGACGCCCTCAGCAAAGTCCCAAGAGGTAAAGACTGCAGGTCGGGGGCGGTTGAGGACAGCTGACAGAACCGAAGGCAGGAATTCCATGGAGAGAATCTCTGTTGTTGTTTATACTTGTGGCAAGAAGCAAACACATTGCTCTTTAATTTTCCTTGGCAGGGTCTGCGCGCCGCGTTGCTGCCAGCCCGTCTGCGGGCCGTGTTGCACCCCCACCTCCCTCAGCCTCAGGTGGATGGCCCCTCAGCAAATGCCTTTCCTGGAGAAATGAAAATGCTGCAGCCCCCGCCGCCCGACTCCCGTTCGGTTCAAACCTCTGCTCTATCTCTGTTGCCCAGCTGCGCCTGCGGTGCCCTCCCTACCTGGCAGAGGGAGACACCTTTGGTAGTCAGACGTCCATTTCAAACCGAAGGCACGCTCCGTTTGGAAAACGGAGCATTTTCATTGTGCTTTGGTTTCTGGGGGTTGGGGGGTGGATTAAAACTGGGATAAATGCAAAAGATCCTGGAGGACAATGAGAAAGGAAAGCTCTGCAAGGAAGAGGCAGAAAGGGGGTGGAGGTGGGAGATGGGAGGGGGCTGGCAGGACCAGTGAAAGAATCAACCACGCTTTCATCTTGAGTCTGATCCATTTCTGAACCCTGATGGGAAAGGTCATGAATTTTAAAATGCGTCTCTCCAGCCGACAGCTCCAGTCATAAAACCCACACTCTCTGAAGCTGTAGACTGCTGCGGGAGACCCGAGACCGAGACCGAGGGAGCCGGAGGCGGGCGGGGGAGCGCCGGCCGCTGTCAGCAGGCGGAGATGAGAGGGAGTTTGAACAGCTGTCCGGAGGAGGCTTCTGAGGTCGCCCTCCTCCCGGCCAGCTCCGGGAGGTTTCCACGAGGCCTTGGCACCAACAGATAACTTTCTGAGCTGGCCTCCTGGCAGTGCTGGCTGCTTGTGTCACTAACAAGTCCCCTGGCCACCTGCAGTCCTGATTCACCTGCTGAGAGGGGGTGTGGTGGGGATGGGTTGGTGCCTTTCTCACCAGGACCCTGAGAGCTGGTCCAGAAGGGGAAGCCCGGGGTCTCCCGATGTCTCTGAGGAGGGCAAGAGTTTGCAGGTTCCAAGTTGGGTTGTTGTTGGGGTTGCTGCCCGGCTGTGGGAGGGATCTGAAGGCGGCTGCTGTCTTTTCTGGGCTGGAATAGGCAATGGTGACCATTTTCCTTGCGGCCCTGGGGAATGTCAGTGTATCTTACTGGAGGAAAAGTGCATGCTCTTGAGGAACAGTGTGTGTGTTTTTGAAAATGTATTGTTATATCTTAAACAGAAGATATGCTCATTTTTTTGGTAGGACGCTGAGGAAGTGCAATCACGGCTTATCTGTTTGTACATTGAGAGTTGGGAGTATTAAGTTTTCAGAAAGCAGGATAGTGGCAACGGAAACAAGATTGCAGACATTTCCCAAGGCGCCAAGCCGCCCGGAGGAGTCCCATCATAGCCTCCAAGAACTCTGCTCCTTAGTTGGATGCTGAGCCCGGGGACCAGAGGCTGGTGGCCTTGGGAAGAGTGATGCCATGCACAGCCAATCCTGTAGAGACACTGGGGGCTTTGGGAGCCCCAGGAGAACCCCAGCCTCTCTCTGTGTCCTGTGTGGTCGTGTCCTTACACTGCTGAAGAATCGGGAAACCCTTCCCAGGGGTCAGAAGCGTGTGCAGGGGAATCGCTGTGCTTCAGCATTGGGACTTCCGGGTCTCTCAGTTTTGTGGAAGCTTTTTTAGAGGGTGTGCCAGACAAAACAGCCTCCCTCTTATTTAAGAAAAAAATGTTTTTAATGTAATAAAATATGCATAATATAAAATTTACCATTTTAACCGTATTTAAGTGTATAGTTATGCGGTATGAAGTGCACTCACGTTGTTGTGAAACCGTCACCACCATCCGTCTCTAGAACTTTTTCATCTTCCCAAACAGAACCCCGTACCCAGTAAACACTACCTCTTCCTTCCCCCTTCCTCCCAGCCCCTGGCAACCACTGTTCTACTTTCTGTCTCCGTGAATCTGACGACTCTTGGTACCTTGTGTAAGTGGAATCATACAGTATTTGTCTTTTTGTGCCTGGCTTATTTCACTTCACCTAATATCTTCAAGGTTCATCTAGGCTGTACCATGTATCAGAATTTCATGTCTTTATTTTACTAATTTTTTATTGTAGTAAAATATAGATAACATGATGTTTACCATTTTAAGCATTCACAAGTACGCAATTCAGTGGCATTGAATACATCCGCAACGTCGAGTAGCCATCACCATTATCTAGACTCAAAACTCGTCATCATCTTCCACATAAATTCTGTGCCTGTTAAACATTAACTTCCCTTCCCACAGCCCCTGGTGACCGCTATTCTGTCTTCAGCCTGTGAATTTGCCCATTCTAGGTACCTCATGAAAGTGGAATCATACGATACCTCCCTCGTTTTTGGCACAGATTATTTTAGGACATAGGTTTGCAGAGACCTCACCCAGAGACAGAAGAGCAGTGAGTCACAGCATATGGCTGTGCTGACAAGAGGTTCCTCAGAAGTAGGTGGAGACTGCAATGGAAAAACAAGGTAGAGTGTCATGAGGCGCCCGGACACGAGCCCCCGAGCCCCATGAAGGGGTGCTCTGCTGGGGATGACCTGGCAGGGATGCCCAACTGTGAGATGGCCGCAGCCACAGAGGAGGCCTTGAGATTCTCACATCGCAGAGCTTCCCCTGCTTTGACTTCATTGACAGTGAGCAGCCTTCTGAAAACCTGACTCTCCACGGAGCCTGACGGCAGGAGGGAGAACGGGGGACAGAGTGACACGGGTATCTCTTTAGCTTGGTGCTGATGCAGGTCTTGGCGACAGAGAGGAGTGGTCAGGACCTGAATGTAGGAGTTGTTCGTGCGTTTGAAGACCAGCTCTTCCATTTACAGTGTGTGAGACCTGCAGCAAGTTCATGTACTCCAGGAGGCTCGGCGTCCACTTGTGAAAAGCAGGAATGAGAAGAATCCCCATCTCACAGGGTTAGGGTGAGGAATAAAGACAGTAATACAGAAGATGGAAAAGTGCTCTGCTGAATGCCTGACCCACAGTCAGTGTTCAGTAATGATCATGCTTGCAAGAATAATTCATTCTGATGTTACATATCAGTTTCTTGTAAGTTTTGTTTGCATGACTCCCTATCCTTGAGTCCAAACAGCTTTAAGACTTTGAAATTGAGTTTGGGGGTGTGCATGCCTGAGGGCTGGGCATTTCTGTAAATTTGCTGGGATGAATAACACCTTGTGAATCTTGAGAAATCAGCAGTTTCTCTTCCTGTTGACATCTCAATCTTATCACTCACTTTTTTTTCTAAGCATTGGTGGAAATAGAGAATTTGGAAGTGTGAGCTCTTATATGGAGAAGAAATATTAAACTGCAACCTTCCTTGAGTTGGTCATACTGCAAGGATTGCACAGTGGTAGATGGGAGACCTGGGAAGAAGACATAGAGAGAACAATTTGAAATCGCCCCCAGACAGACAACTTTACCTTGGGGGGGGATCCACTGGAGAGGGGTGGACCTGATCTGGTGAAGCCGTGCAGTGTGAACATGTGTGTCCAGGGCGTCTTCCCTGGGTGTCTTCAAGGGTTCTGCTCAAGGCAGCACTGGCTGCTGTCACAGTTGCCGGTGGGATCCAGACAGTGGTCCTCATGGTTCGAGGAAGAGCATCTTCCTCGGGGATACGCTCGGCAGTGACTCGGATACACTCCCTGCAGACTCAGGACCATCAGTCCCTTGACTCCTGGCCTTGAAGAGGAAGCCCACCCACTGGTCCGATTTCCCCCAGCCTTACAGTGGGCAAATTCTTCCTCAAAAGCCTCCTGGTCCCTTTTTGCCGTCTCGCTCAGGTTATCTGAAGATTTTTATTAACAGCATATCTCAAAGCCAAAGCATCGTGGTCTTGATCCCTCTCCTCTCAGGTGCACCAACTGCTCCTGTCTGCATTTGCTCAGCCCCCAGGCTCTGTTTAGCCATGGGTGTGTCAGGGCGGTTGGGGAGCGTCCATCTGCCCACAGATCGCGGTTGGGTGGATTAATTAATGATTATAGAGTACTTTGAAGGTTGGAGGGCTAATTATTTAGCCAATTCCTTCCCTTCCCCCACATCCCCTTGACAGCCTTTTGTCTCTTCCCCTCTTGGGACGACCTTTGAAGTGAATAGGAGAGAATGAATCAGGGGTCAGTTAATAGAGCTGGCCATTCCAGATGGCCAGACCAGAGAGCCCCGTCTGGATGCTGCTCCACTGCAGGAGCTGAGATTTTCTATGAGACCTGCAGCACCCGGTACCTTTCTTTACATCAGAGCTGGCCAAGGTTTCAGAAGACCGTGGCTTCCCACATTCCCAACTGGGCGTGACAAACAGCAGGTTTTCATTGGCTAAGGTGGAGCCTGATGCCTCTGTGTCCAGGGTTTGCTCCCAAGTTTGATGTGAAATCCTTTATCTAGTAATTCATTCTCTCCTCTCCCTCTAATTACTCTTTTCCAGAGCTTGACCCCATAGGAAGAACATGGTGGTTTCTGCTCCCATTCCTGGGTTTGTACGAGGTGGGAGAGAACGAGTTCTAAGCTGTGCTGTGGGAGAAATGAGTTTGGGCTGCCTTGCAGAGTGAGTGGATCCTATTGTTTCTCTGCTTTCCCTCTTTCCCGACAAACCAAGACTTTGAAATAAAAGATGTTTTTCTATTATTTTAAAATCCTGAATTATGCATACTTTTTTAGTTGGAGAAACACAAGGATAAAAATAATATCTCAAGTGGTGGGATTACACTTATATATTCCCTCCCTGGGCCCAAGAGTGGGTCTTTAGCGCGTTTATGAGCATATTGAAGGGAGAGAAAATCCTGTTACTTTAATTTATGAATTCGTTCACCTATATCTATAATGTTTACTGGGGAGCTGCTCTGGTGTGGAGACGTTAGAGATACAAGAGGGGACAGCACCCAGTTCTGAAGGTGTGTGCAGTCTAGTGGGGAGAAAAGCATGAGAACCTGTGAATGTGGCGGAGTGATGGTTTTGCATTTTGCTCTATTTTTACGTTTCCTCAGATCATCAGGTGGATGGACCCTTTGCCTGTCCTTGCCTCAGGATATTTTCAGGGCAGAAAACAGAAGCTGCTTGAAGTCCAAGGCTTTTGTAAAACTCCCAAGCTCTTTGAAGAAAGGATGCTAAGGGCCCTAGGGGTGGAGGGGAGAGAGAGGAGGCCTTTGAGGGCAGCAGGAGGAAAGAGATGACTCTGGGGGCAAGAGGCTGAGCGAGAGAGGGCTTTGAGGGTGATGAAAGAGGAGAGGGAGGACGGCAGAGAGGCAAGGAAATGTGAAAAGATCATGAAGGCATGGGTGTAGCAGACCTAGAGAGGCCAGTGAGGCACACGGGATCCAAGCCTCACCCCGAACTCCCCAAAGGTGATCCTGGGGCAAGGAGCTGTTGGCCCTGGAGGTCCATGTGGGTTGGGACAGTGGGGGACTCTGGGGACCAGGAAGGGCTGACTAGCAATTGGACAGGGCTCCCCAGTGCTTTGGTGATAGAGGTGGCCTGGTCACTGCACAGTCCTCTGGAGCAGGCGGGTCTGGTAATGACTATGCTGGAATTTCTGCAGCCCCAGCAGGGTGGGAGTTCAGAGTGGGTCTAAGACGATTTAAAATAAAGAGAACATATTCTGCACATTGGAGTGATACTCTCTGAAACTAAGCCCATGACACACTATGATACAATAAAAAAAGGGAGGTTGGAGATACCTAAGGTAGTCAATTCAGAGACAGAGAGTAGGATGGTGGTTGCCAGGGGCTGGCGGAGGGAGTGATTGGAGAGTTGTTCAATGGGTACGTTTCTGCTTTGCAAGATGAAGAGTTCTGAAGGTTGATTGTACAGCAATGTGAAGGTACTCAACACCGTTGAACTGTACACTAAAAAATGGTTAAGACAGAGATATCCCCTCACACCTGTTAGAATGGCTATTATAAAAGAAAAAAAGGATGTGTTGGTGAGGATGTGGAGAAAAGAGAGCCATTACATGCCATTGACGTGAATGTAAATTGATGCAGCCATTATGGAAAACAGTACGGAGGTTCCTCAAAAAAATAATAATAGAACTGCCATATGGTCCAATAATCTCTCTTCTGGACATATACCCAAAGGAAATGAAATCAGTACCTCAGAGAAATATCTGTGCTCCCTTGTTCACTGCATTGCTCACAACAGCCAAGATATGGAAAATAATCTAAGTATCCGTTGATGGATGAATAGATAATGTGGTAAATATACAATGGAATATTATTCAGCCTTAAGAAAGGAGATCCTGCCATTTGCAACAATGTGGATGAACCTAGAGGACATTATGCTAAACGAAAGAAGCCGGGTACAGAATGAAAAAAGCTGCCTGGTCTCACTTACACATGGAATCTAAAACTGTCAAATACATAGAAGCAGAGAGTAGAACAGTAGTTACCAAGGGTGGGGAGGTGGTGGAAATGGGGAAACACTGGTCAAAGAGTACAAAGTGGCAGATATGTAGGAAGAATCAGTGTACAGGTCTAATGGACTGGAATGATGACCATAGTTAATAATACTGTATTGAATACTGGAAATTTGCTAAGAGAGTAGATTTCAGGTCCTCTCATCCACACACACAAAAGGTAACTATGTGAGGAAATGGATACGTTAATTAGCTTTCCTGTAGTAATCATTCACTCTATATAAAATCATCATGCTGCAAACCTTAAATATATACAATTTTTATTAAAAAAATAAAAAATGGCTAAGATGGTAAATTTTATATGTATTTTACCACAATTAAAAAAATATGGAGTTTGGTCCAAAGAGTGCCAGGAGCAAAGATGGAGGTAGATCTAAGTCAGCCTGAGGGGAGTCAGGGAGGCTTCAAAGACGGGGGCCAAGTGATTGAGACTTGAAGCTTGAGTGGGCAGAAAAGGGGTGGAGGGGATGGTGGAAGTGGAGAGGGTGGGATTGGGGAGAATGGGGTGGGGGCAAAGGAAAGACACACACACACACACACACACACAGAGCCTTGGAAGGAGGAGAGCAGAGCACCCTGGGGACAGCTGGGCAGTGTGGCTGGAGTTTACGATGTAAGGCAGGGTGGGAGGCCAGGGGAGGGATGGCCTAGTTTAGATTTTATCTGGTAGGTAATGGGAGCCATTGAGTATTCTTGGCAGAGGGGATGACATAATCAGATTGGTGTTCTAGAAAGATCACCCTGGCTGCCGTGTGGATGATGAAGTTGAGCCCAGAGGTGGAGCCCCACCTGCATCCCTGCTTCACCCCTTTCACTGTGGCTGCAGAAGAGGGACAGCTTCTGCCTAACTCAGAAGCCCCCCGCTCTCCCAGCTCCCTGGAAGCATGATGGTTGACATCACCTCCCCTCTTCCCACACTCCACTGGCTACTCAGCCATCTGTGCACATCATGCCCTATGTGCTTGTCCATTTTTGTCATTTTGAGAGTCTCTGCTCTTATCTCATAGCCTCAGGGGAGGGAAAGAGTGATTCACAGACAGACCTTTTCCCAAGCTTTACCCTTCCTCCCTGTCCCCCTTCCTCCACTTCTCTTATGGGCAGAGACTCATTCCCGTGCCCCTGAACCCACAAAATGCTCTCTCTGTTGTACTTACTGCATCAACCCACGTTCCCATCAGTGAACGATTTCCGGCTTACTGGGGCCATCTATTGCTGTATATGGAGGCAGAACAGTGCCTTTCCCGGGGCAGGGGCAGGCTCAAGAGTCTCACTGCCTGGGTTGAAGCCCAGCTCCAACACTGCAATGTGGCCAAGTTACGCAGCCTCATAACTGCGTCTGTAACACACAGGAACGTTAGTAGTATTACCTCACTGGATTGTTACAGGGTGTTAAAAAATGATTAAAGAAGACAATTTAGGTGATACAAGCAAACTTCATTTAACACTTTGTGAAATGAACAGTCTCCTTTCTGAGAACTGAAAAATGGGGTGGAAGGCAGGAAGCTTTATGGGACAAAGAATAAAAGACAAGGAAGAGAAAAATAGAAAATATCTGATTGTGTGGGGCCACGTAGTCAACCTTGTTTGGGGTGAGAAGACCCAGAGTGGCCTGTCCTTTGGGGACTGACTGACTGGATATACCATGTTTCTGGTGAAATGGAGCATTTATAGGAACACAAACATCATCTAAGTTTGGTTTCTGATGTGGCACCCCAGGCAGAAGCAGCTCCGTCTTGGGCCTAGAAATTTATTTCATTTGAGGATGAATATTTGAAAATCACTTAGAATAATACCTGGTACAGAGTTGGTGCTGGGTAATTGTTTGTTTAACTAAACACCTTCTTCAAAATGTAATTATGGAAGTGAAATAAGATGCTATCCGTAAGGTGCTTAGCACAGTACCTGGTAAACAGTAAGCATACAATAAATGCACACGGTTTCTAATTGTGTTGGAACTTGATCTGTGAGAGGTGGGATGGAGGAGATGAGAAGGCGGTTTGCATTGGGGGTCATATGTATGCAGACGTATTGTGACTATCTCACCAGACTACCTGACTGGATTAAAAAACTGCTATTGATCCTTACTATGGGTTGAATTGTTTCCCCTAAAATGTATATTGAAGTCCTAACCCCTAGAACCTCGGAGTGTGACCTTATTCAGAAATAGAGTTGCTACAGATGTAATTAGTTACGAGGAGGATAGTTAGTCACGAGGAGGTCGAACTGGAATATGCAGTATGACTGGTGTCCTTAGAAGAAGACTGCCACGTGGAGACACAGAGACCCAGGGAAACCCCAAGTGAAGATGGAGGCAGAGATCGGAGTGAGACGTCCACAAGCCGCGGATTGCCAGCCATCACCAGAAGCTAGGAGAAGGGCGTGGAACGGATTCCCCCTCACAGCCCTCAGAAGGAGCCAACCCTGCTGACGCCTTAATTTTGGACTTGCAGCCTCTAGAGCTGTGAAACAATACATTCCTGTTGTTTTAAGCCACCTGGTTTGTGGCACTTTGTGACGGCCACCCTTGGAAAGGAATACAATCCTCGTTACCTGCAGAGACCAACCACATTTATCAGCCTGGCATTTGGGGTCCACTCTGCTTTCCAAACACACACACATAATGCTTTAGCCACACACTGTGCCACAACAGACTATTTGTAATTCCACAAACATGACTAAAAAAATTGTCATAGAAGAAATTGTTGGATATTTATAAATGTTCCTGCCAATCAGCTCAGATCCTAGTGCCTGGAGCTCCCCTTTGTGGGGCATCTATACCCCAGAAGACAATTGAGGTGCCAGAGTCAGAGGATGGAAGAGGAGAGGAAGGGCAATAAAGTGAAATATCTCCAGTTGTGAAAGGGAGTGCGTGATGGACCTGGGAAAATTTGCAGGGCTGGTGATTTGGGCCTTGGAGGCTGTGTAATCTGGGGAAAAGGTAATCTGGGTTCATTCCCAAGGGGCTTTGGAGAGGAAGGACGAAGATGTTGAGGGGAGATTTTTGGAGAGCAATGTTGCCTGCTATGTAATGTGAATCGTCTGTGCTCTCTCTCCCTATAAAATTTTTGGTGAAATCACTCCTCCGCTCCGTGCTTCTGGCGTTCATCCCTTCTCCCTTCCCTCCCCTCTCTGCCCCTCCCCTCCACTCTTCTTTCAATGAGTGGCAGTGGAGTACCTGC